CTTAAAATTTTATTTTCTTTTTTACAGAGATTTTGTATATTTTTCATGTACTTTTTAATAATTAAAATATAAATTGTTACATATGTACAGAAAACTGAAAAAATGACATAAACAAGAAAAATATGTAAAAATTCATGTTGTAAACATTAAGGGGGAGAGGCCTATAAAAATTTAACTTTAAAATTTAGGATTTTTAAGAGCGAAATTTTTTTCTATCATTATTTTCTATCATTATTTTGCGATATAGATAAAGGATTGTTCACATTCATGAAAGAAGCCTATAAAAGATTTCGCAATAACAACTAACTTCTAATTAACTAACTACTTCAGTAGCTACAATTATATTATATGAAAATTTAAAAAAATAGTTTTTATTTGTTTTTCAATTTAAAAAAATTAAATTTTTGAAAATTCATAGAATTTATTGTTGAAAATTGTGAAAGAAATTCATTATTTATTTAATTTTTCAAAGTATATACTGAAATTTTACCGATCTCTCCCCTTAAAAAAAGTATAAAAAAAATTCCTACTCAAATAATTAATTCTTTACGCAGATGTCAAAGTCGATTCCAATTTTTTTTAATTTGTGTATTATCATTATTATAATACATTATACAACTTTTTTCACCAAATTACTTTATTAATTGTATACATTTTTAAATTATTTATTCAAAATAATATTTTTTAAATATTTTTAGAATTATTCAAGAGGAATTCAAAACATTGAATGATGATGGCCAAGAATTTCACACAAAAATAAGTAAGTGTATTTTATAAATTTTACCCGGCGAGCACTGTGACTTAGAATATCTTAGCATAGAGGGGAAGATTTAATAAAAGACAGCCTTATTTTCAATTTTCTATATATACAGTAATTGGTAGTAAATTTGAAAAAAATTGAATATAATTTTGTATATATTAATTCAAAGTTGCCATAGGTAAGGGAATTCAGAGAAAAGTAAGAAATCTTAATTAAAAGTACTGAAAGCAATTGGATTTTTAGAATTCATAAGAAAATTCTGAAGTTTGATGTCTTTTTGGTTTGTCTCATAAATTTTAAAAAATAAGTCAACTCCAAAAGGTTTTAATTTGAAATTTTATAAAATTTCAATTTTGAATGAATTTCATTAGAAATTTTAAAGAACTAAAATTTTTGAAAAATTGTAATAATTCAAATACTTCTTAAATTAGTTATATTTTTTAATAAATATTTAATTAATTATTGAAAATAATATAGATTAATAGATTAATTTTAGTTGGAACACTAAAAAATGAAGTTTTAAAGAAGTTATAAATGATTGCAGAAATTAAATTATTTTCAAAAATTTCTATAAATTCTATAACTTTCAATATCCACTAATTTTCTAAAAGAATTCAATTATTTAAAAAAATTGAATTTTACTCAAACATTTAATTATTTTCATAAACAATAAAAATTACACTGGAATTCAATTATTCACAAATTTTTTTTTATATATTTCACCACAAAAATTCAATTATTTTCATAAATAATAAAATTCAATGCAAAATTTCAATTATTTTTAATACAATTTTAATCGAATTCCTTCGAAAAATGTAATTATATTTAAAAAATTGTATGAAAATTTTTCCGAAAAATTCAATTATTTACAATTTGTCGATAAAATTCTTTATGAGAATTAAATTTTAAAAAATATTTAAATATATAATAAATTATTTATTTTTGTACTCTCTAAATCTGAATCAGTGAAATTCAAATTGAATATCAGTGAAAGTTGACTGAGAATCAGTGACTGTTCTCGCGATTTGAATCAGTAGAATTTCACAAAAACTCATTTGAAAATAAGTGACATATCAGTCATTTTTTACTGATAGACCAATTAAAAAATTACTGGAAATTTTTGTTACGCATATTGAAAATTTCATTTTTTTAATTGGACAATCAGTAAAAAATTACTGAAATTTCTAACATTTTTAACTGATCTTCAGTAACATTTCACTGATTCAAATTGCGAGAATAGGTTCACTGAAAATCAGCCAAATTTTACTGATTCAGTTTTATAGAGTATTTAAAGAATTTAATTCTCTTAGAATTATCTAATAATAATTGATTTAAAAATTAATTTCAATTAAAGTTTTAGATAATAATTAAATATTAAAAGCAATATAGCGTGAATTTTTAGAAATAATTGAATTTTGAATAGGTTTCAAATTGAAAAACTTGTTCAAAAATTATTTAAAATAATTGATTTCATATGAATTCTATTATTTACAAAATTCTTTATGAGAATTCAATTTGAAGAAATAGGTATTTAATTATTCACTTTATTCATGTTTTATACTAAAATATTCTTATGAGTTTTTAAATTTAAAGTTTTTGTAAATCTTGATTCCTGTGGAACAATAATAATGATTAAATTAATTTATTAACTATATTAATTTGAATGTTCTTTTTTATTCTTTCATTCACTTTTTCTGTCCCTCACATTCTGAAGTTGTCTTTTGTTTATAAGGTAAATGACCCAGTCGCCGCACGTGTGCCAGTGGCTGAACGTTTATTGATAAACTAAGTAAAAATAAGAACTGTTTTGAATTTTTTTATTTAAAATTATATTTTATGAAAAGATAAATGTTTGAGGTTTTCAAATAATATAAATATCTTGAATATTAGGTTTTCATTTTCTTACAAAAAATTATTTATTTGCACATGTTCATGAATCCATCGTTTGAACGACCATTTTTTATTTTTTTCGTTAGACATTGCTTAAGTTTCGAATAATAAAATATTTATTACCTGACTGAAATTAATGTTCGCCATAGTTTTATACTCATTATGATTATATATAAAATGCATATTGTAAATGATAATTCGTTTTTTCCCTCTATTTTATTATAAAATTAAGAATTTATCAACTGGTACGTCAAAATAATAAGTGTACTAGTTCCTGAACGTAGCGTTCAGCGACTGGGTTTGTTTATTATTTTTTCATGTCCCACTTTTTCACGGTGAATTTGACAGATGTTTCGAAAATAAAAATAACCTGTCTAAACGTAAAGATGTAAGTATATATTTAATTTAAAGTTATAATTTATTGGCCACCCTTCCAAAAATCTATGTAACGATTAATAATAATTAATTATTTACATTTAATTTCATAATTAAAAAAATTATCGATAATAACACAAAATCATTTTCAATTTATTCCGTCAAAATTCAATACATTATTTATAACCTGAATGTCGTCAAATTTCGTTTAGCAACTGGGCCTGCACGACTGGGACAACACTAAATTTTCCGTTCAGTCACTGGGCCAAATGACTTTGCTCTTTTATAATAAGTTTTTCCAGCATTAAATAGATAAAAATGGTTTCACAGCATTGCATTCGAAACTTAAATACCTTATCTTTCAAAATAATATATTTATTACCACCATACAATTAATTTTATATTTTAAAAAGTTCAAAACATCAAGAGTTAACCTTAGCCGTGCGGCGACTGAGTCACTTACCTTACTTTTGTTTTTTGTTAACTTTAGATAGAGAATAGAAATCATCAGAATTTTTTTTACTTCTTTTCATTAAACGACTAAAATTTTTTTAAATATTATGTTTTGTGAAATTGAAATTATTTTTGTTCTTTACTTCTAAAAAAATTAGAAAATTATTAAACAACTGTGATTAAGAAATAGAAAATTGATTTATTTTCCATAATGTTTGCGCAGAATTTCAATAAAATTTTTTATAATTGAATTCTTTTGAAAAATTTTAGTAGATATTATAAAAATCATTAAATTGAGGAAAATTTTTGAAAATAATTGAAATTTTTGCTGAGAATTATTTCAAAATTTTTTTAAATAATTGAAGTGATTCGAAGAATTTTATCAAACTTTTTTAAAATAATTGAATTTTTGCAACGAATTTTATTAAAATTTTCAAAAATAATTGAATTCTTATGAAGAACTTTTATTAATTTTTTTATTAAATAATTGAATTATTGCGAAAAAAATTATAAAACATTTGCAAATGATTGAATTCTTGCAAAGAATTTTATCAAAAAATTTGATAATAATTGAATTTCTTCGAAGAATTTTATTGTTTATGAAAACAAGTGAATTATTGCGAAAAAAATTGCAAATCATTGAATTCTTGCAAAGAATTTTATCAAAAAATTTGATACTAATTGAATTTCTTCGAAGAATTTTATTGTTTATGAAAATAATTGAATTTAGGAAGAATTTTATTAAAATTTTACATAATCTTAATTAAATTCTTTTGAAGAATTTCTTTGAGTTTCTTTAAAATACTGGACTTTCTTTAATCATTTTAATTACAAGTTTTCAAAGTAATTGAATTCTATATGAATAATTTCTTTCAAGTTTTTATAATAATCCTCTTTTTTAATAATTGAAATTAGGCTTTTAATTCTTGAAAATAATTGAATTTTTTTGAAAAATTTCTGTAATTTATTGAATACAATCGAATTTTTAATAATTGTATTAAAAATAATTAAATACCTGAGAAGAATTTTATTATTTATAAAAAATACTTTAATTCTTGCGATGAATTTTAATAATAGGGGAGAGTAGGCTCAGGGTTGCCAGACAATTACTCGACCGCCCCGCCACTAGTACGAGACAAAACCGCCAAATACCGCCATTTTTTGAATATCTTGGCGCCTATATATAAAATATTATATATAACGATATAAAATAAGGAAAAAATTAAAATGTTAAATATATATAATTTTTTAATAGTAATAATAATAATAATATAAATTTAAGAATATAACGAATTTTTATTAAATTATATTATACAATCATTTTTAGATTTTTACATATTAGGACAATAATACTCTTTCAGTATAATTTGGTTAATTTTAATTATTTGGTAATTTTGGTTTTGGTTTTGTTATTATAAAAATACTTAAAAAAATACTTCTGTAAGAAGTTCACGGAATTCCACGTCAAGATCACTTATAGAATCAAGAGTTTGTAGTAAATCACTTTCTAGATTTTCGTCAGCGCGATTACCCTGTACTTGTTTTTTAGGGTCGTACATTTCTTCGGAGTTAAATAAATTCAGCATTTCTCGAGTTGGCTCAAATGTTGTGCAGCACAATTTGCTAGACTGAAAATAACGTAAACGTTGAGTACTTTTAAACAAACACGAACGACCAAATCAACACTGAGAAAACGATTTATTTGATTAAAAAAATTTTGTTTAAATCAATTATTTAGATACTTTTATTACAAGATATTTTAATTTATTTAGAAATTTCTCACCATAAGATGAATTCTGATGCGGAGAAGCGCTGTAAGCATCTCCTTACTTAGTTTGTTTCTTAATCGATTTTTTATTATGTTCATTATGCTGAACACACGTTCCACGACTGCGTTGCTAAGTGCTAAAGAGAGCAACTTAATCACATATTCTGCTAGCTCTTTGAAAATTTGTTGTCCTGCTCCATTTTTTAACCTCCAAACACAACCCCAAAATTTTATGATGTCTATATCTTCTAAAGATGCGTCTAACTCCTCGACACAAATGGTATTCAGCGTAACTGATTCTAGGGCAATCCACTGACTTTCGAGAATCGATATATCAATATCAGAAGCTAAAAAACAAATAAATGGAACAAAGGTATTGGAAGCAATTGTTATATTAGAATTGAGGATGTGTTTTGTGGATTATTTCACGGCTGGATTATTTACTGAGGAGATCTAAAGGTAGATTTTGAAATTCGGGCCGAGCCCTTCTTGCTAAAGCTACCGACGGCGCGAAACACCTCATTTTTTCAATGGACCCCAGACACGAAGGCAGTCTTTCCAGAAGCTCCTGAGTGAGTCGAAGAAGAAATTGTGCGCAGAATTCTTTTACAGAATGTAGTGCTGATGGCGAAAGTCTGACTTCTTCGGCAGTTCTGCGGAAATTTTCTCCATAAACAACTTGCTCGACTGGTCGAAGATTTTCTTGCCTCGATAAAGCCTGCTTCATGGCATCTATTTCTGATAAACGAATCATGCAAGGTTCAGATTGACGCATTTTCTCAGGTCGAATGATTCTAGCGCCCAAAGAAAGAACCAGTAAACGTAAATCGGCGTAAACTTTGCTGATGTCTGCACAATTACTCTGAAATACAATGTTCATTCGAGTAACGTCTCTTAATATTGGAGTTAAAAATGAGAGATACAAGAAATGCGATAAATCGTTGTGAAGTCGAGATAATTCTTTAGCAGTATGACATTTTTCGAAAGATGTATGCAGCAACCACCTCAAAATGAGATTTTAGAGGCATATACTGGTCCAAATGACGCGACACTGCTCCATACCAGGAGAGCCATCGAGTTTTTGCAAATTTTATTAAGAGTGGGGGATTTTGACCACAGTGAAGATTCTGGAAATACAATTTTTAAATTCTATTATTACGTAATTATAAAATTAAATTTAAGAATTTTTATTTATTTTTTTCACATATTTATTACTACTTATTATTTATTCATTTTTAACTTGCCTGGTAATGAGTCGAATAGTGATCTTTGCGAAGAGCGCTCAACGAAAACCAATTTGTGGATTCTCTAATTAAATATTCCAATGACGACGGAAGCACTTTACTAGCGGCTGAGCAAGCATTGTCCAGAACATGACAAACACATCTCAATAATTGAAGAAAAGGACTATTATTTTTTCTTAAATAAGCATATAAAGAATTGTGTGCTCCGCACATGTTAGGTGCACCATCAGTTCCTAAACCAATCATTCGCTCTAATTTTACTCCAACCTCTTTTATAAAAAGTTTAAAAACTTCGTATAATTTTTCTGCTGTAGTTTGTGTCACTTCTACAATTCCTAAAAAATCGGTAATCATTTCTCCTTTTTCATAGCTATAGTATCTGATGCATAATGCCATAAACTTGTGAACCGAAACATCGGTAGATTCGTCGCAAATTATTGAAAAATAACTTTCTCCAACATCTCTTAATAATTCTTTTAAAAAACAAGGAGCAATTACTCTGGCAATCAATCTCGAACACTTAGTTCTGTGAAGTCTAAGCTCACTCAAAACTGAAGATCCATTTGCAATCTGTTTTAATAATTCACCCAGATGATCAACAGCTCGAGTGCTGGTGTGACACGCTGTGAAAACGGAGATCTTAAGATCACATTTCTTCGACTCTTCACTTGTACCTTCGAAACCTAAATTACAGTTATGATTTATTAACCCTCCGTCACACACATGAGAAAAAATTACATGAACAAAAAGTTTTGAACGTTCAAATGAACGAAATATTTTTTGTTAAAAATATTTTCATAGATTATTGATTACAATTCAAATTAAAAACTCAAATTTTACATTTAGAAACATTATAATTAATTTGCTTAATAGTTACGCAAAATTATAGTAATAAAAATTTAATTTGAAGAAGAAATAAATAAATTTCGTTCATTTGAACGTTCAAAACTTTAACCTCCTAAAAATTACGACTTTACACACGTTTAGAGGGAATCCCTTACCACATTGTAAAATAAGCAACATTAAAACAAACAAAGGAATCAACAAAAATTTAGTTTTAACACAAGCTTACAAATATGTAGTAAATTATTCTAAATTATAAAATTAATTTTCGGTCTCAAAAATAAAAATTAATTACACGAATGCACATCTTCGAAGGAATTCCACTTGACATGTAAAAATAATGTAACATTAACAAATAAGCAAAAAAATCATTAAACAATTCATTTTAATTATATTTATAATATAATTTTGTCATTAACCAACAGTGGAACAAAAAATATATTGAAAACTTGATTTTTTTATTTAACATAACCTCACTTTTTCGCGTTGTTTCTGACTTTGAAGCTTCATAATTAAATATTAATTATGTTTAAACTAAATGTTTTTTTAGAAATGTTTTGAGGAGTAAATTGTCGAAAGGTATAGAAACTGATTTTATTTTGCAATGAGGAAAACAAAAGTTATTTAAAAAATACTGAAACCGTAGAGGGAATCCCTCCCTAGGTGTGTGACGGAGGGTTAATAAAATATATTCAAGAAAGTGTAATAAAATAAAGAAAAAAAATATTTCCTAATTGTAAAGTGGTTACCTGGATAAGAATTTAATTTTAGTTGACCGCTTCCTGGTTTTGGTAAATTAGACAAAGCTCTCTGATGTTTGGTAGTTTTAGCGTGATCAGATAAATCAGTTCTATGAGGACGAAGTGTCGATTTGCATAATCGGCAATAAGCCTCTTGTTTTCCCATTTGAATTAAAATATCAGTCGTTCTTTGTAGCCAGTCTGTATAAAAATGTAAAATAATCACAAAATTATAATGAATTATATAATTGTATTTTAATTTCACGTACATTATTTGACTATTTTGCTTGTTACGAAAATTAAGTTTTAATTAAAGTAAATGTAAATATGCGACTAACCTCTAAATTCAGGTTCCTTTTCCCAACTTTCATTATACTTTTTCGTATAAGTGCGTTTGGACTTACTCATTTTAAATTTGTAAGAATTTATTGAAAATTGCACCGATAAAATTCACTAAACTTAACAATATATTAGAAAAAGATTGATTAATATCTACATTGTCACAGGGCAAACAAAATGCTTCACACGCTTCACAATTCCGAAATGACCATAAAGTTAAAAGTTGTTAGAAGTAAAACTATAGGTGTTAAGGGCTAGTCCCATTTCAGCGTAAACGTAATAGTTTTTCGTTTCATGATGCCGTGGGGATGCATCTTTATGGGTCCAGTGGCGCGATATTTTAAATATACCGCCTAATTGGCGGATACTTTTATTGATACCGCCTGATTGGCGGTTTTCCGCAAAACCGAAATTTTACCCGCCAAATTAACCTTCAATACCGCCTGATTTGCGGGAAACCGCCCAAACTGGCAACCCTGAGTAGGCTACATTGAACCAGCGTCAACAGTGAACCACTTCAATTTTCTGAGAAATGACTGAGTGAGATTTTTTCTTCTTCAATATATAAGTTAGTTTTACCGAAACAGACTATGTATAAAAATTTCCGACACGTAGGTATATTATTTACAAAGAAAAACTAAAAAAACTGTTTTTGACGTACAAAACAAAAAATTTGGTGAAATTATAATGACGTTCTTTAATTGAAATAGGAAGTTTTAAAAATTTGTAAACTTGTGATTTATTTCGCTTAGGGTGTCAACTTCAATATTCCGATGTTATAAAAAACTTTAAATCTTACACAAATTTATTATAAACAATTTTTGTTGTGAATGTCATGTGAATAAAGTGAGTGCGGCATCATTGAACCACCCGAAAAAGCAAAGAATTTTTAATTTTAAGAGTGGTAAAGCTATCTGCTCTACTAATAAGTAAGAAAAATACTGGAAGACATGCTTTCATCACAATTGTCAACGAGATAAACTTAAACTGTTACTTTTGCAACCTAACCTGACATTGAAATATATTAATCTCTTGTATTAACAAATAATAACTATTTAACAACAATTTTCTATTTTTTTGAGTAGAAAATAAGATTTTTTACAATGTGTAAGTGGAAATATTATTTTCGAAGTAAGTTGTAGTGTTTTATTAGAGGTGGTTCAATGTAGACACACATTCTTCAAAATAAGAAAAGTGTAACTGGTTAGAAAAAAATTAAATTTCATTATTTAATGATAATAATTTGTATTTGTAATGTGTGTATTAACTAAAGGAGTACTTCAGTTTTATTTTCATACAAAAACCTGATCAAAATTTGTAAAATTTAATTAGTTCTTGGACTTTATAAAAAACCCGGTTCAATGTAGCCTACCCTCCCCTATATTTCTTTTTAAATAATTGAATTCTTTTGTGGATTTTTATTGAAATAGTAGATATTAAAAATAATTGAATTTTGATATTATTGAAATTAATTTAATTCTACGAAGAATTTAATTTAAATTATTTTTAAAAAAAATCGAATTGTTAAAAATTATTTCATTAAAATCTTTGAAAATTAATTTTAATAACAATTTTAAGAATAATTACATTTTTCGAGAAATTCCATTAACATTGTACCAAAAATAATTAAAATTCTGCGATGATTTTTATTATTTATGAAAATAATTGAAAACCTACATACCCATAGAATTTTATTATTTATGAAAATAATTGAATTCCTGGTTAAAAAAATGTTATTCTTCATGAAAATAATTAAATTATTGCGAAGAAATTTATAAAAAAATTTGTAAATAATAGAATTCCTCTGAAATTTGAATTATTTAATTCATTCAAAATTGTCATTTTCTAAAATTTCAAATTAAATTTTTTTTTAAATAATTGAATTCGTTTTGGGAAATATTTTATTAAATAATTGAACTTTGGAGAAGAATTTTGTTATTTAAAAAAGATAATTGGGATTTTTACGAGAATTTTATTCAAGATTTGAACATAGTTGAATTTAATAAGAAGAATTTTATTTTTTTTAAAGAATTTTTGCAATTATTTTTAAATTCTACAAAATTGGATTTTTTTTAGTATTTTCAACAAAAATTTTAATTAGAAAATTTTCAAATTTTATTATTTTTAAAATTGCTAATTTTATTTAAAAAAGGTAGGTTAAATCGCGCGCTATTAAATCGCGCGCTTTAGCGCGCGATTTGTTGCTAGTATTTATTTAAAAAAGAAGTTATTGATGTTTTCGAATAATTTTACAATCGTTTTTAACACATAGAAATTTTGTAAATATTTTTTCCAAAATATTTTTAAAATTTCTTAAACAAAATTTGATTTATAATATTTTTTTTTACTTAAAACAAGTACTTTGTTTATGAATTGTAATTGAGAAGCAGAAAATGTGCAAAATATTTTTTACTTCCTAATTTTAATTTGTCAACAATTTTTAAATTTTTTTTTAGAAAAAAGAAAAAGATAGCTGCATAATTTCGACTTGTCAAACAATTAAGTTTTTCATTTTTAAAAAAGGATAATACTTTGCAGGATTTACATTTGATAATTACCTGAAATAAAGAAACAAAGAAATAATGAATAATAACATTATTTATCATATTTTTAGATCAATAAAAATATTTTTTAATTATTTGAAAAATAAAATTAATATTATTCAATTAAAAAAATGTGGACAAGCTGGACGGAATATGACGATTATTATAGTTAATATTAATTTTTCAAATAAATAATAATTATTTCTTTCCTTTAAAGTTTCAAATTCGTTTGGTAAAAAAAGACCAATTGTGATTGAAAATAAAATTTTCGAAAAAAAAATTGATATTCACGCGTTATTGAACAAAAAAGGAGAAATAGAAAAAAAAGAAGCCGACAAGAATATTAAAGAAGAGAATCAAATGGAAAATGGTAAGAAAAATTTAAAAACTCTATAATTTTTCCATCAAATACTATTCACGTTTTTAGTGTAAAATTTTTCACACATGTTTTATTTTTAAAAATAAAATATTTTAAAAGCTGCTACAGCTGATCGTCTGGTGTTATAAATATTAGGTATTTTACGTGAAATGTCTTAAGTTGAAATTTCAACTTCTTGAAAAAAATCGTAACTCTGGGAATTTGTTGTTCTATCAAGCAGAAATGTGACCCAAAAATCGGTCCGTTTTATTTGAAAATAAATTATTGCAAACGAAAGCTGAGGTTTTTTCCTATGGGCAAGTAAATTTTCAGAATGCCCTTTTTTTCGTCGCAATTTATTCTTTGAAATTTAATAATTCAAAAACAAAAAAAAGGCATTCTGAAAATTTACATGCCCATAGGAAAAAAACTCAGTTTTCGTTTGCAATAATTTATTTTCAAATAAAACATCCAATTTTGGGGAAATTGAAAACTAAATATTAATTATCAAAAATTAGGGTAAATTTTTAAAATATTAAAAATAAAATTTACCATTTGAAAGAGAACGAAAAAACCTTTTAGAAACATATTCTAAAAATTTTTTCCCATTAAAAGTATGTTCAGAAAAAATTCACAAAGCAGCCAGTGTTATAAAAATTGTTAAAATTGGCCCCCCTCTACCCCCTCCACATGTTTCAAAAAGTCAAAAATAATTTTTAAGACACATTTTTACTTGCTAGAGCAACAAATTCCCCGAGTTTCGATTTTTTTCAAGAAGTTGAAATTTAAACTTAGGGCATTTCACATAAAATGCCTCATATATGAGCGATTCTACATGAAAATAGCGATTTTTTAAATTCGGTTAAACATTTTTTTTCGTTCTTTCTAAAGACAATTTGAAATATTCTGTATTGTTGTTTAATTAGCCTAATTTTTAATTTTTTAATTTTCGAAATTTTTTTAAAATTTATTTATACCTTATAATATGTGGATGTCCACATGAAAAGGGCCCATTTTGGCACTATTGGAGTTATCTATATGGGCGTATTCTTGTCAAAATTTGGAAAATTTTGAGTGGTCTTAGAACTTTTTTGGTTAAAAATTCACTGAGTTACGGAATTTCAAAGTTTAGAACGCCAAAAACCTCATTTCGAGAAAAACGGAATTAAAGATTTCGATACCAACTAATTGTTGTATCTCTGGTTCCTCTTGGAAGTTACTAAGATAAGAATTGTTTCCAGTTCAGGACACCTTGAAGATAAAAAACCAACAGGTTTAAAATTTTTAAAACCACCCCCCCCCCCTCTTAATTTTGAAAATACGAAAAACCGACAATATGGTCCCTTTTCTAAAAAGGATAGTTTTTCTATTAAAAACCCATTTTTCACAAGATTAATGATTAGGTAAAATTTTATTGTGTCATTTGAAGAAAAACAATAGATATCACCTTCAAGCTGCTCGCGCTCTACGCCACGCCTCACAGTTATTTTTTTTAAAAATGTATACATATTACAGTTTTTAATCGATTTGAGTGTTCTTTTGGTTTCTCTTCATAAAAAAATTTTGTTTTTTCAAATTTATATTCTTCAAGAAATTATTTCCCTTTAATTTAATACAAAAAACTCTCAAATAGATTAAAAATTGTACTCTTTAACCATTTTTTAAAAGTAAATTGTAAAAAAAATCCCACTTTAAGATGTGACATGAAGTGCGAGCAACTTCCACGTGATTTTTGCAAATTTTTTAAAACTTATTAAATTTATCCACCCCATTTCAGCACTTTTTGAAGAATCTTCTCTATATTGTAAGGTATAAATTAAATTTTTAAAAAAATAAAAAATCGGATAAGATTAAATACTCTATAATTCAATTATTTATTATAGAATCAAGGAAAAAAATAGTTCGAGGACCTACGGTGCGATCGCAGAATTTAAAAAAAAGGAAAGAGGCTTTAAAATTTTTTAAAGCCAACAGAAAACATCTCTTAAGTTTAACCTCTTCACTGTTAGAGAAAAATACAACATGATTGTCAACATGGTTGCCCGGCGAAATCTGATACTTTTTCAAACAGTATAATATATTTAAATTATAACTAATTATTCATTTATTGTATTGACTTTTATTAGAAAACAACACTTTCGTGCCTTTTGAATAGAAAGTTCTAAGTAGTAAGAATTGTCCTGAATAGAATTTTGATAATAAAAAATTAGTACTTCAAAATTTTTACATTCTCATCAAAAATGAGAAAGTCTTGGATTTGTGCGATTTTGAGAAATTTCTAATTTTGATAAATCTTCACGTTTCATGACCCCCTGATTCCAAAAAAATGGTTTTTAGCGAAGTGTCTGTCTGTCTGTCTGTCTGTCTGTCTGTAGAAAATTTTGTCTCGACGATAACTCGAACAAATTTTAACGAATC